CATTAGAATAATTTGAGGCTGAATACTACACAGGCTAAAAGATAAGTGGGATTCTGCTGTTGTAGCGGAAAAAATACCGAAGTAGAATGCATCAGAACAATGTGACCCTGGATAAATGTCTATGAAGCCCCTCCCCACCCCACCCCCACACAGATGTCCACGGCTTTTCCCTCTTGGAATCTGCTCTGCCTGAATCCCTAAACTGGAGTAAGAATCCAGCTTTCCAAACTGCCAGTCTTGCAGTCCTTCATGCCACCACCCCCAATTGGAGGCTGACTTCTGCCATCTGTGGGCGGAAGGCTCTGCCCCAAATCAGTTCCACACAGAAATCATAAAAGCTGCAGACAGGCCCCTCACTAGAAATAGTTTTATGCTGCACTTAGGGACACCTAGACGCCACCAGGCGAGGGCTAAGGGGAGTCTCTTACTAGCGGGACGGTTGGATACTCCTCTCTGAATGAACCCCAGCCCAAACGGCACTAGCCCATAACCGGTGCATAGATCACATGGCTGCCCGGCTCACTCCTTCCCAGCCAGTCCCATACCTACCGGAGGGCCAGCGGCTCCGCCCACCGCCTCCCTGGAGAACCCTTAGTACTCACCCGGGCCTCTCCGGGACCAGAACCTGGGCTGCAAGTTTGAGGCTTGCGCCCCGACAGCAGTGCCTCAAACACCTGCACTGGAGGCCCAGCCCGGCATGTGCTTCCGGTGGACTCCAGCCAATAGCAGGCCAGGCTCCATCCGCGCTGCTGATTGGCTCCCAGATGCCGCAAGTTGGCAACTCTGGCAGAAACTTAAAAACTTGGATTTGCTGGGCAGTCGCAGGCTGAATCTAAACGTGACAAAGTGAATGTCTTTTGAGCGCAGCAGCCCCAAGCCCATCTTTTGTTTTTTGCCTAACCAAAGCGCTAAATTATCTATGCATATTGACCGCGTGTCCCAGTTCTTGCTTGAAGCAGGAACTCAACTTTTTATGAATGGTCCATTAGCATTTGATTGCAGGAATCATATCGTGTCAACAAAAGAATAAAACAAATACTTAGGATGGGCAAGTCACTGTGCTAAGCAACTTGCACAAAAACTGAACTGCAGCTCTAACTTTCTGAGTTACAATTCAGCTGGGAGAAGATTTAAATACATTAAAAGTTAATCATTATAAATGATTATAAATGTTATTATAAATGAGATACATTAGAAAAATACAATAAGAACTGACACCCAGGTTGCAAGCTGCTTGCTAATTGCAAAAAAAAAGGTGATATAAAGTATGAATAGAAACAAAGAGAATTAGAACTGAAGGAGCAAAGAAAGGAGATACGGAGGGAAGGACTGAAAAAGCTCCAAGAAGATGAGAGTTTTGAAGGTGGACAGGTCAAAGTTAAAGTTGTATTTAGGAAAACGTGAGAAAGGAAAGTTGCTTATACTTCAGTGAGACATGAGTGGTAAGGGGACAGAGAAATAGGAGTATTAAAATAATTTTTAAGTAAGTCAAAAAAGTGGGGCACCTGGGTGGCTCAGTCGTTACGCTTCTGCATTGGGCTCAGGTCATGATCCCAGGGTCCTGGGATGGAGCCCCGTATCGGGCTCCCTGCTCCGCGGGAAGCCTGCTTCTCCCTCTCCCACCCCCCCTGCTTGTGTTCCCTCTCTCGCTGTGTCTCTGTCAAATAAATAAATAAAATCTTAAAAAAAAAAAAGTTGTTCAACGAAGTACTTGTAATAGGGAAAATTTTGTGTATTAGATATGTAGGACGTTTTCTGTAGTCTAGTTCTCCAGAGCTCTGTCCAATATACTTTATGATTGAAATGTTCTACGTGGGCACTGTCTACTAGCCACAAGTAACTTTGAGTACTTGAAGTGTGGCTAATGCAACTGGGTAACTGAAATTTTTATTATTTTAATTATAGTTCATTTTATTTAATTTAATTAATTTTTATTTTAATTTAAATAGTCACAATTACCAGATGGTTGAATGAAACTATTCTAAGTGGTACCTATGAATCTGTTCTATGATCAACATATTTAAAATGTATATGTCATCAAGTTGAATGAAAAGGGGGGTGCCTGGGTGTTTCAGTTGGTTAAGCAGCTGCCTTAGGTTCGTGTCATGATCCAAGGGTCTTGGGATCGAGCCCCAGTTGGGCTATCTGCTCAGTGGGGAGCCTGCTTCTCCCTCTCCCTCTGCCACTCCCCCTGCTTGTGCTCTCTCTCTCTCCTTCAAATAAACAAATAAAATCTTTTTAAAAAAAGTTGAATGAAAAGGACCAGGTTTGGGGGGGGGAATCAGGTGTTAAATATAATTCTCAAACTCAAACAAAGACATGCAAACTCAAGAAAAGGAAGGAGACTACCCTTTCTCTAGTGCCTTCCACATGCCAGTGTAGGTGCATGAATACATTATCAGTAGCTAGTAGCCTTACAGCTGGAAAAAATGGACACTCTGGACCTTATTCATACAGAACAATCTGAAAATTACTAATTGATCACCAATACATATCAGTGGTAAAGCCTATTTAAAAATTTCAAATAAGGCAAAACATTTTTACTTAAATATAATGTATGAAGACTAATATTGATAACCAGTAAATATCATTGTAATTATATCATAGTTTGAGAACTTTTGGAAAACAATGACAAGAATTTACGATTTTCTCCTTGCATTTCAAAAATAAGTAACAATGTCATCTCTTGTTTTTTTAAAAAAGAAATTTATTAAGAATTTTGGAAGAAAAACATCAAGGGAAAACTGGATTTCACGTGAAATCAACAAAAGTGTTATCATTCTAATAATTGTACATTATAGGCTGTTGTAAAGCCTTGAAAAAATTTAATCTGCTAATGCACAGCACATCTTTTCTCTACTACAACACCAATTAATAATCATTGTTTCAAACCTCAGAATTTTTAGCTGTTTTAGCTACATGTGATTTATGTTCAAATATGATTTTATATGATTTGACACATGGCAAAACTGTCATTATTGAGTGATAAAAAATGTTCTACAATTGATTGTGGTGATGGTTGCACAATGCTGTGAACATACTAAAAACCATTTAACTGAACATTTTAAATGGATGAATTGTATGATATATGAATTGTATCTCAAGAAAGCTGTTTAAAATAAATAGATGGAGAAGTCATAAAGTCATTAGAGAAAGTAAATTTATTATTTTCCTTGCATATGTGGTATTTCACATGATTGATAAAGAAATTTTGCTTTCCTAGCATTTCCTGATATTTCTGTTCCTGGTTTTGTTTTATTCATCTTTTATCTCTTCTTTAAGAAAGAAATTAACTGCTCTAAACATCAGCCTCAAATTTTCAGCATACCAATCAGTAATTTTGTTTTACAAAGAATGAAAATTGCCCAGTCTGTAACAGTTCAAGAAAATTATACATTTTCCACTAGATGGCACTGGTGTGCAAACAGTGTTGCCAGAATCTTCAGATTCTCACATCAATAAAATTAACATTGCCACATCGTTTTCATTCACTTTGATTGATCTGGGTAAGACAAAGAGAAGTGGAAAGTTAAAACAAGATACTTCCTTGACTTCCTAAGCTCCAGGGTAAACAGAGTCCTTACTTCACAGATACAGGATGTAAAGCAAGGAGAAATTATCATAATCTTGTGCTAAAGCCAGAGTGAGAACCCACAATCCCTGACTCTTAGTTGCTGTCATACAAGTATACAATATCAAAAGTGGGGGAATGCATACCCTAGTCAAAGGGAACAAGAAAATTGATCTCCATTGTTCCATTGTACACATATTATCTCATTTGATGCCTAAGCTATGAGCTCCATATATATTATCTCATAAAATCCTAAGTATACAAACCCAATGTATTAACTTCATAAGAGAAAGAGAATGATCATTTTGTTTAATACTATATCACTTGAATATAGTACAGTGCCCAACACATAGTAGACAGTCAAAAAATTTAGTCTTTAAATAAGTGGATGAATTAACTGAGCTTAACAACTACCCCATTTAGTGAGTAATACTATTTCTCCTTGCAGCTGAGGAAACTGAAGTTGGAAATATGAAGTGACTTGCCCAAACTCACACAATTCAGTGGCGAAAACATTGAACACAATCCGACATTATTTTGCACTATATATTTACATGTAAGTTTTCCACAATAGAAAGAAAGCTCTCTGAGGACAGGGATCATGTTTTTCCTTTTCCTTATTGTTGTGTCTAGCTCCTTACGCAGAGCTGGCACGCAGTTGGCACACAATAAATAGTATTTATCTGTTTAAGTTCAAAGCATCCCAGATCTTAGCAGCCTGGACTTGAACATTCAAAGAGCTCTACTCCTGGACCACTTTCTGTTTCATTCTTTTCATTTTATTCCAACTTCGCTACAAAATCCAGATCTCGTTTCTGGATTTCTCCTAGTTTCCCACTGACCTCTCCTCAAGTCCCTATAACAAGAAGTCTTAGAAGTAAGTACGCATTCCCACTTTGCTTTCCATTAAGATTTCTCCTAGTCCTAGAGCTGAGCAGTCCACCCTTTCAGCCCTCAAATCCCCAGGGGTGTCTGTGGGAGTTGAGCAGATCAGCAGACGGAGATGGTTCTGGTTTTGGCTCTGTTATTTGTATCTCTACTATCTTTGGCTATTCCAAGGGCCTCGATTTCCTCATCCCAATTTTCTCAACAAATCAGGCTGGAATTGGATTATCTCAAAAGTTCTTTATAGCTCTAAAGGCTATAGGGTTTTTAACTTTATCCAGTAATGGTCTTCTATTGAGCTTATGACCAAGATGGCAAACTTTGGGGGAAGAATGCTTGGGCTCCAGGGGTGGGAATAAAGCCAGCGCTGGGAAAGCCTGTGCACCAGACAGTGCTGTTCTGGCCACAGGGAACGCGGATGGCACACCTGAGTTCGAGCCTCGTTTCCGCGGGATTGGACTCCCGGACTGGGTCGGCCTCCCCACCCCCCGGACCGCTAGGGGGCGCTGCAGGCAGCTCCCCGGAAGCTGGCACCAGGCGCGGCCGGACCGCGGCAGGCGGCCGACTCTTGCGTCTTCCGGAAGCGGAGCGCCGGACCCCCAACGGCTGGGTGTGCAAAGCGGCGGTGGCGGGCGCGGCGGAAGCGAGGAGACCTGAAGGGGACCCGGGCCTGGCTCCCGCGCCGGGGTGGAGCACCATGGACGAAGCAGGCAGCTGTGCGAGCGGCGGAGGCTTCCGGCCGGGCGTGGACAGCCTGGACGAGCCGCCCAACAGCCGCATCTTCCTGGTGATCAGCAAGTACACGCCCGAGTCGGTGCTGAGGGAGCGCTTCTCGCCCTTCGGCGAGATCCAGGACATCTGGGTGGTGCGGGACAAGCACACCAAGGAGTCCAAGGGCATCGCCTTCGTCAAGTTTGCCCGCAGCTCCCAGGCCTGCAGGGCCATGGAGGAGATGCACGGCCAGTGCCTCAGCCCCAACGACACCAAGCCCATCAAGGTGCAGGTGCCCGGGCTGGGATACCCGCGGGGGTGGGAAGGGATGGGGCCTCCCTGCACCTGAAGCTGTGTCAGCGTGGGGTCGGGGCAGTACAGCCCCTCCTTGGGGCGCACTGGGCAGCGCCTGGCATTCCGGGGGCGGGAGGATGGCGTTCGAGAGAGGGGTGCGGGGGTTTGGACGGTGCGGAAAGAACGTCCGCCCGGACTTGAGCTGCAGAGCTGACTGGGCCTCCCTCCACTCCGGCCGTCACCACTACGCGGCTCTGGACTCCACCGCCCACCTCTGAACCGCCACTCTCATAACCCCGTTTACCATGTATAAAAACAGGTTTTGCTTTTGTTTTTGTTTTTGTGTTTTGCTTTTCTTCAGGTTGGTACTGAACTTATATACAACTTGATAAAAGTGTATGAAACTGGCCTCTCTGGTGTTGGGCGTTTGCCCAGTACCAGACGAAAGTGGACATGTATATAATGTTTGAATCAAGGTGACTAAAACTGCTGCTATTGTATATTTGTCACACTTGTGATTTTTAAAATCCTCTTAACTAAGCCCTCTTTGTGAAAGTAGTAATGGCATACGTTTTGTTATTGCCACTTTTCTTTGAAAGCAACCAAAGTAAACTGCCTCAAGAAGAGCCAAATCAGGGCGCCTGGGTGGCTCAGTTGGTTGAGCGACTGCCTTCGGCTCGGGTCATGATCCTGGAGTCCCGGGATCGAGTCCCGCATCGGGCTCCCTGCTCAGCAGGGAGTCTGCTTCTCCCTCTGACCCTCCTCCCCCTCATGCTCTCTGTCTCTCATTCTCTCTCTCAAATAAATAAATAAAATCTTTAAAAAAAAAAAAAAAAAGAAGAGCCAAATCATTGTGATGGTAGTGTAGTGGTATTGTTATTAAATGCTTCTTTGTATACTCTTACTTCACCCTGGAGGTATTTATATTGTTTCCGCACTTACTTGTGTAAAATTAAGATAACTGACACGTGGCAGGAAGGGTGATTTTGAGAGTTATTTGGCTTTATCTATGCTTTCAGCACAGTGCTTGGCAAAAGGTAGGCCCTCAATATATCCTTATGGTCAGTAGTAGCCAAAATGTCATTCCTTACTGGCTGTGAACTCAGTTCAGGACCCATTCCTGAGGATCTGACAGTTGCTTAAACTGTACCCTCACCTGTCCTGTAGAACAAGTTGCTGTGTATGTAATTCTGTTGGAGACTTCCACAAAATTCTCTTTTCCTCGACTTTTTCCCCCCCTTTTATTCCTCCCATTTACTACAGAAAACTGGTAAGAATATTATTAATACTGACATAAATGAAAGACTGAAAGACATTTCAGTCTCGGAGGTCTTCCCTATACCTCCATCCACAAAAGAGAAGGAGCACAGGAGTATACCAGCAGTACGGTAGACCACCATAGACATTCCCTTTATTTCCACCTCCCCAACTGTCTGAAGTGGAGCAGAACAGATCATCAATAAAATGAATTGTAAGGCCACAGCATATGCTAGATCAGGGGTTGACAAACTTTTTCTGTAGGAGGACAGATAGTAAATATTTTAGGCGCTGTGAGCCACATACAGTCTCTGTGACATGTTCGTTGTTTTTAACAGCCCTTTAAAAATATAAAAACAATTTTTAGATCATGGGCTGTAGAAAAACAGGAAGCTGTGGTTTGCTGACTCCTGTCCTAGATTGGTAATTTTTATCTCCTTCTAATTAAATTAGCCTAGAGGGTTTTTTTATACTTTTGAGTATAACCAGAGATCTCTGGGCAACCCAAAAAGTGCCCCAAATCTCAAACCCATATAATCCCCTTTCCTTGATTAAATTCCTACAAGAGAAGTAAAAGTCCCAGCACTGAAATGTACTCTCCTTTTTAGCTGCAGAGAAGTTACTCCCCAAAATAATTCAAGTTTAAGTTGTTTTCCACATTTTGGTCCACTCAGTTTCAGCCAGAAGTTTGTTGCACTGCAGGACCGAGCTAGACAGTCTAAGTTCATTCTTCAGCAGGTTCAGCTTCGTCTGTCTTTCACTGGAATGTAGTTTCTTTGTGTTTCTTTTTGTTTTTTCTGTATTTCCCGTTAAATTAATTCAGCTTCAACTTTTCTCATGTAGTTTGCTTTTGCAAAGTTCCAAAGGATCTATAAGACACATAAGAAAATTATAGCCCTGGGCCTGCAGCCAGAAAAGATTGGCTAAGTAAGAGTTATTCTGTGACCAACTACATTATCTGGAGGAAAGGGGTAAAGTCTTGGTTTTCAGCTTTGCAAGAATGTCTCTTATTTAGATTCTGTAGTCTGAACATAAAGTCTCAGGAGAAATCTCTATTAGGTGGTTAATTATTATACATGTGTTCTGCTCAGACAGTGCCTGCCTTGTTGGAAATTTGAAACACTCTAGACTTGTAAAATTTAGAAATTTGTGATCTGATGACACCTCCAGTCTCAAATCTTGAGACTCTTTCTTTTCCCCCAGTGTCTTCCCATATTCGTAAAGGTTTCCTATTTTATTTTTCTATTGATCATTCATTAGTGATACGTCCACTAGACTGACTTTCTAATGGGTCATTTCTGTATTGCTAAGTACTCTATTACTAATACCTCATACACTGCTAGTGTAAGTTTATTGAAGGAGTAACAGTAGACTCTAGGAATATGTCTCCAGCTGTATCTTGTCAACAAGGCCCTATACCTCTATGACAGCTGTTTTCTAAGCAAACATACGATCTTCTGTTTCATATTTTTGAAATCCCATGGCTTTATAAGTTCTCTGTCCTTTGGGTTGCTGCCTCCTACTCTGGAATTCCATAAGTTGAGGTTTTCTCATAACTTGAATGGTATACAGCTGCCCCTTTAAAGTAGAAGAAGGAGAAAGAAACCTTAAGGGCTTAGTGTGGTGATTTATATTAATTGTATTACATGTCTTCAAGTTATAAAAAAACAAAACTAGTCATTAAAATTCTTATCCTTATAGCTCTGTACAAATCCACAATCCTAATTAGAGATTTTAACATTCCTCTAGGATAATATAAAACCAAAACAGTTTTATAAAGTAATAAATAACAATCTAGTATCATAATCCAAGTAATAAATCTAAGTAATCTAATGTCATAGATGATGTTTCAGTAAAACTAAATTGCTAATAGTAGAAAATGGAGCCTCAGGTAGTCCTGTGCATTTTCTTGCTCACATAAATCATTTGGATGGTCCCTGAGGTGATCCAGAATATGGTTATGTTACCTTTTTTAAAGGTTAATATTAGAAAGAAAACAGTTAAAAATAATGACATTCCAGACTTAAACCCAACTATATCAATAATTACATTAAACATAAGTAGACTTAATGTGCCAATTAAAGGCAGAGATTATCAGGATTTATAAAAAAAAGAAAGACCAAACTAAATACTATTTAAAAGAGACATAAAGATACAAAGTGGTTGAAAGTTAAAGGATAGAAAAAGCTTGTGTGATGTCATACAAAATGGTCTTCAACACAAAGAGTATTAACAGAGAAAGGGCAATTTCATAGGAATAAGAATATCAGTCAAAAAGTACATAAGAATCCCACATGTTTATGCAGCCAGTAATACAGCTTCAAAATACATGAAACATTATTGATAGAACTAAAAGGAGAAAGATAAATTTGCAATCAGGTTTTTATACTGCTCTCTTAGTATCTGATAAAACAACTAGATAAAATCAGTAAAGATGTGATATTTAGGTAATACTATTAATCAACTGTAATTGGCATTTATTTAACACTGTATTCAGCAACTGCGGAGTATATACATTCTTTTTCAATGCACTGACTTCTCTTGGCAAACAAAAGTGCAAAAGTAAATGCAGACATTGGTATTATATAAAATGTCATTGCAGTAAAGATTGCTTTAAAAAAACTTTTTGACAAAACGCTATTACACTGTGTTTAACCTAACATGACTCTCACACTAATAATGAAGTAAGTATACTTAAGAAATAGGAAAACAGTTAACTGATTTTTTTTATATTATGTTTTGGATTTTGTTTGTTTCTTAGGTTTTCATTGCTCAGTCCAGATCATCTGGAAGTCACCGTGATGTTGAAGATGAAGAACTTACGAGAATATTTGTTATGATACCAAAGTCCTACACAGAAGAAGATCTGCGGGAAAAATTTAAGGTACTTATGTTTTCTAATCAGCTAGCATCTGTGGTAACTTACAATCCTAAATTGGTTGTATGGTTATTAAATCTCAAGTGTTGTTTGAGTTAGATGATTAGATTGCTGGTAGAGAATTAAGGAACTGTTTTTAAGTCACCTATTTCCATCTAGTTTTAAAATATTAAACCTAGAATAAACTAACTTAAAAAAAAACATAAAAACTGAAAAATATTAATGATGGTATTTTCCCCCATATAAGGAAAACACAGATTCAGGAAAATAAAATATAAAGCCTGGAGTTTTAAATTAGGTCACATACCTGGTAGGTGGTGGAACCTGCTCTTGGTCTTTACACTTTCAAAGTACCCTCTCACCACTCTGTTGCTCTCATATAGAGGGGAGTCAAGCAAGCCTGAGTGTGTGAACTGTATTATCTAGTATTGATTATAAGCCTGTGGCATGTAGATGTACTTATTCACAGAAAGGCTCATCTTTTATAGAATTTTTGTCCTAAAATTAAGCCTTTGAAGGAGTTCTATGTAAAGAAAAAAAAACTACAGCTCTGAACCGTATAGCAAGATTATAGTCCATGAAATTTGAAGAGAATTTTAAATCTCTTTTTAGCCATTGATTTTTATATATGTGATATACTTTCACAAAAATTATTAAAAAGCAATTCTTAAATTGTTTTGAGTTGTAATTTTTCATCCTTTTTCTAATAAGTTTCCCAACACTATGAATCAGGTGGGCAACAAGCAAGAAAGAAAAGAAACAAATAGTGAAAAGTAATTTTCAAACTTTCTCTGTCCTACCCCAAGTAAGAGTTGAATAAAATATCTCAAAAATAACAACTACCAAAAATATATATTCCATACTTCTTCCAGTAGTAAGAAGGAAGTTTTTATCTTATATATTTATAAATTTTTATCTTTTTCTGAGTGAACAAATATGACATTTTTATCCAAATGTATAATAATTAAGTTGCTAACTGGTTACGTGAGAATTTTACAAAATAAAAAATAAACACTAAGGGGGCACCTGGGTGGCTCAGTTGGTTAAGCATCTGACTCTTGATTTTGGTTCAGGTCATGATCTCAGGGTCGTGAGGTGGAGCCCTGCATAAGGCTCCACACTCAGCTCGGAGTCTACTGGAGATTTTCTCTCTCCCTCTCTCTCCGCCCCTCCCCCTGCTCACACACATACACTGTCTCTCTCTAAATAATAAATAAAATCTTTAAAAAAATAAATACTAAGAATTTGTATCCCATATTTCTACCAACATTAAAAGTAAACTTTTACCCATATTTTTCATATAGAGAATTGACTTTCTGAGTACGTCAGTCTGTTTTAGTGATACACTTTGAGAGGCTCCTCTTCAAAAGAACACATAATCAGTTATGTCCTGTTAGAAGGCAGACAGCTGTAGCTAATGTTTAGTGTGTCCCAGACCCTTTAGGTCTATTAGTTCATTTAACTCTTAAAATAACCCTTTGAAGTAGGTACAACTTTTAGCCCCATTTAACAGGTAAAGAGATAGGCACAGAGAAGATAACTAAACTGCTCAGTTAATAAGGGACTGAGCTAAGATTTGGATATGGAAGGTTCAACTCCAGCTTGTAATCACCACTGAGCAAGACTTTGGAGCTTTCCAAACCAAGTACACATTCTTACGTGCCCTCCATGACATGGGCAAATTATTTGATTTCTCAAAGACCCAGTTTCCTTGTCTGTGAAATAAATAGTATAACATATATAGATATACAAATATGTAATATATTGTGTGTATATACATATATGTACATATATACATACACACATACATATTATATATATATCCTTGAAGAACTGTTGTAGCAGTAAGATAATATATGTAAAGCAAATGCTCAGAAGATGAAAATGAAAATCATCATTATTTTGGTTGTGTTATCATTTGCCTATATCGTTAGTATGGTTCTTTTTCTAGTGCCTCATTAGTTTGTGACATTTGGATTCTGTTATTAAAAATGGCTGTAAATTCTAATTCTCATTTTTAGTTTTGCCAATAAGGGACACAAATAAACTTTAAGTTCTGAAATAATCTGTTCAGTTATTGATTTTGACTCCTCTAAGATCATTTCTTTTAACTCTCATAGGTGTATGGAGATATCGAGTATTGCAGCATTATTAAGAATAAAGTAACTGGAGAAAGTAAAGGTTTGGGTTATGTTCGATACTTAAAACCATCACAAGCTGCCCAAGCAATAGAAAACTGTGATCGAAGTAAGGATATGTTCATTTAACATATTAAAGACTTCTTAAAAACTCTTAATTATTCTAAATAACTGAATTTAACACTTGGTTTTGCTAATAACCATACCTGCTAATTTAATCCTAGCAACGGGAGTTTAAATATATGTATATACCTAAGATGAAAATTATTTGGGGGCTGTGAGTAAGTTTTCATTGAGGCACTGTCTTGAAGAGAAATATGAGCAATTGCATTAACTTAATAAGTGAAAATACTGTTGCCACATTTTGGTTATTATTTCTATAGTAATTTAAGATTTTTAAGTATTAAAAAATTGACTTACCCTTTCAGGCTTTTTTAAAGAATATTTTTTCTTTGTATTAAAAAAATCTCAAATTTTCTGTTATATTTGTTCATGTTTAACCTAAACCTTAAATAGAATTAAGTATATACTAATAAACATAAAGGTTGAAGTTGGGACTTAGTGTAATATTTGCCCACATAGGTAACTAAATATATATTGGGTTAATTTTGAGCTAGAGTGACATTAATTGAATCTTTTGCTGTTGCTGGTATATATAATGAAGAATAAGAATTTTAAAGAAGCCAGGGAAAATATCGTTTGTTGTCATACTCCTGGTTATATTGACCTTGAGAAATGAGGAATAATTAAATTGGTAGGTTTTAGGGTATTATAAAGATCTATATGTACGGAGAAAGAATTATTGCTAATCAGTAGAATTCTTTTTTTTTTTAAGTTATATTTTATTATGTTACGTTAGTCACCATACAATACATCATTAGTTTTTGATGTAGTGATCCACGATTCATTGTTTTCATATAACATCCAGTGCTCCGTGCAGAACGTGCCCTCCTTAAATAACCTTAAGATACACACCAAAATTTCCTCTCAGATCCTTCTGAATTTCTCAGTCAACCAGCATTAATTGAGTACCTATGGTATACTCAGCAATATGTTAAGTAAAAAGATACAAAGGGAATAAATATATAGCTTTTAAGGAATTTAATTATATTGGGTAGCCAAGATCTAATAGACAAAAAATAGTTAAAGAATAATAGAAGAATTTTTAAAAGGCTCTTTGAAAGCAGGGAGTATGTTTTATTTGTCTGTTTCTGTCATTCCTAGTACCTAGTACTGTTAGTTATAGGCCCTCTGTAAGGATTTATTGAGATCTCTATCAAAGATACTGCCATTTTTAATAGACTCAATAAAAATTTGCCAAATGAGAAAATGTTTAAAAATGTGTGGTATGGTCCAACAGTGGTGAGAAACAAGTGCACTGAGAGCATGAGAACAACCTCTAGAGGTAAGATTGACATCTGGTATAGAGTAGGCAGGAAAGAGGGTGAGAGCAGTTTTAGCAAAGGCACAGAGCTAGGAGTAAACATGTCTTTGCTTAATACTGTGAAGGCAACAGTCTGAAGAAAGCGTAATAATCCTGTTGAGAAATTAGGAGATAAAGTTAACTAAATACATTGGCACCATATATGGGAGGTTATAAACAGTTCAACCTCAGTTAGGATTCCCTTGTAGATTGTTTTAAAAGCAGAAAAATAACTATTAGGACAGTTGATCTAACCACAGTATCAAGGATGGATTTCCAGAGAAAGAATTCAAAGTGACTGGTTTTATCCTTTTAGGAGCCACTGAATAATATGATGAAAGCTATGAACCTTCTCCTTTGAAATATGCCCATATGCACATATACATAAGCATTGTGTTTTAAGTTTCAGAGAGTTCATGGAACCTTCCCACTTTTTGAAGCTCATCTTTGAGCCCCTACTTAAAACCTTTGATCCAGAGGCACAGAGACCACTTAAAGAGTTGTTGTAATTAATTGAAGGGAATCTGACTTAGAAACAAAGGCAAAGAAATTAGAGTAAAAGATAACATCTTGTCAGTGTATTTCAAAGGAAGAATCTTGCTAACTGGTTGAATGTGAAGAGCCCTATAGGATTTTGATGTTGAGCCAGGGAGAACGAGCCATGATGTTTTTTGTAATAGCGGGGAGACTGGAAAGGATAGGATAGAATTGCTGATCTTTCATGTCTACATTGACCCATAACTTGAGATTCTTGCACTTTTTATTTATTCTTTGCCATCTTCCAAAAAGCAAGTAAGTAGGTCTGGTGCAAATGGCCCTTGTGTAGATTTTGTTTTATACAATTACAGTTAAAAGCTAAGCACTAGCAATAAAGTATATTTGCAGGTGTGTTAAATTTGCTATGAAGTTTGAAAGTCATAGATTCTCTTTTTCAGGTTTTAGGGCAATCTTGGCTGAACCTAAAAATAAAGCATCTGAATCCTCAGAACAAGACTATTATAGTAACATGAGGCAGGAGACATTGGGACATGAACCTAGAGTAAATATGTTTCCATTTGGTGAGTAAGTTATCCTTTATTTTAATAGTATAAGTAGTATATACAATTGGATTTGGATTTCATAAAATATTCTTTAGTCTGTAAACCTCACTTAGTGAATAAAAGTTAGTATGGGGTTTTTTGAGAAGTTTTTCATGACTCCTCATGGTCTTAATATTTAACACTTGTGTAACTAGTATTTAAGACTATGTGTAACAGAAAACTATAATTGGAAATTATTATATTATTATATAAATATATATTATTATATTTTATGTATAACAGAAATATAATTATATGTATATATTATATATAATTATATATTTCTATGTGTAACAAAAAATAATAATTCCAATTATAGTTTTCTGTGGTTAGTTATGTATTATCTAAATATTAAACTGCATCACTGCCACTTTTTTTGAGTGAGCTTCTGCCTCTGTGTAGGACCAAAAAGTATGAAAGACCTATCCTGATATCCCCTCAGTGTGAGTCCTAAGATTTTATCCCTAAGGTACTGCTGCTTTAAAATTAGGGCTAGAGAAAGGAGAGGAATGACAAAAGTAGAAGTTAGCCAAAGGGAGAAATGAGTGATGAAAGTAAGTCCTATAAATGTTATTTGGCATAAACTTTCTTTTAGGTGAAACCCGTACCATATTTTGCAGTTTTGTATACTAAACATATTCGTCTGAAGTTAGACTACACATTTCTGCTTATATTTCTGTGTCAAAGGCAGGGGAGTGGGAAGAGTTGTCTGTTTTTTCACCATTGGTCCCTCTGATAGTGCTAATGACCAAGAACATACTACAAAACACAGTGCCTTGGTCCAATGCAATGGACTTAATGACAGCTCATCTTCCTTGTACCTAAAATGTTGACTCTATAGAAATTAAAAGATGTACTTTTTTTTTATATTGTTGGAGAACAACAATCTGAGTTTTCAAGTTTCGACAAGAATGATAACAGAGGCCAAGAAGCTATCTCCAAACGCCTATCAGTTGTATCAAGAGTTCCTTTCACTGAAGAGCAGCTTTTCAGTATTTTTGATATAGTACCAGGATTGGAATACTGTGAAGTTCAACGAGATCCTTATTCTAATTATGGTAAAATAATGTCTATTACTTTTTAATATACTGTGTTTTGTTAAAATGTCTTTTCTCCAGTGGCACTTCTTATGTCAGATACTCTTTCTTTGACAACTTTATGTTTTCTTTTTCTCCACTTTAAACTTTCAAATACAATGATACCTTAATAAATAAACCCCTGAGAATATATCTCCTTTATATAAGTCATTTATTTTTATTTATTTAAAAGATTTTATTTGTTTATTCGACAGAGACATAGCGAGAGAGGGAACACAAGCAGGGGAGTGGGAGAGGGAGAAGCAGGCTTCCCGCTGATCAGGGAGCCTGATGCGGGGCTTGATTCCAGGACCCTGGGACCATGACCTGAGCTGAAGGCAGATGCTTAACGACTGAGCCACCCAGGCACCCCAAGTCATTTATTTTTAAAGAATATTTTAACTCCCACAATATAGAGTGTTCTCTCTTTCCAGTTGTACAACCAGAATACCTCAGGATGGGGTCCCTGTACTCCTGATTAATGCTAGGCAAAGTTCTAAAACCCTTAAAGCTTCCTCCTCGTCCCTAAGTGTCTCTTTTTTTGTTGTTGTTTTTTTAAACTTTATACCTCAAAATGAAACTCCTTCCCTTCATTTCAAACATCTAATTACTCTACTTCTCTCTCTACTTCTTCCCAGTCTTAATTATAGCAAGGCTCTGGGGCGCCTGGGTGGCTCAGTCAGTTGAGCGTCTGCCTTTGGTTCAGGTCTTGATCTCAGGGTCCTGGGATTGAGCCCCATGTCGGGCTCCCTGCTAAGTGGAGAGTCTGCTTCTCCCTCTCCCTCTCCCCCCCCCGACTTGTGTTCTCTCTCTCAAATAAATAAATAAGATCTTTTTTAAAAATCTGAAGCAAGGGGCGCCTGGGTGGCTCAGATGGTTAAGCATCTGCCTTCGGCTCGGGTCATGATCCCAGGGTCCTGGGATCCAGCCCCACATCAGGCTCCTGGCTCAGCGGGGAGCCTGCTTCTCCCTCTCCCTCTGCCTCTCTCCCTGCTCATGCTCTCACTCTCTATCTCTGTGTCTCAAATGAATAAACAAAATCTTAAAAAAAAAAAAAAAAATCTGAAGCAAGGCTCTAATATCAGCCATTTGAACTTATTAACTAGTTAATTGGTTAAACCTAATACCTAGTGTTGGCTTAACCATCTTCATAATTTTTTAAGGTTTTTTTTAAGGCTTTTTGAAAATGGAGTTATTGTGGCATAATGGAAAATGGTTGGCATTCCATTTCACATTAAACTCAAAATGCAAATCCCAGCACTGGCACGTAGCTCTGAGACCTTGGCAGTTTGCTTATCCTTTCTGAATCTCTTTCTTCATCTGTAAAAGGGGATTATTAATACCTTCTATGCCAAGGTTAGATAAGAATTAGAAATGCTGTATGTAAAATACCTAATGCAAGTCCTGGCACATAGTAGGCACTCAGGAAATCTCAGGAGCTTATTGGTTTGTTTAGAGAATTGGAGGGGTGGTATAGAGAAGTCATACTTGGCATCTCTTCTAGTACTATAGATACACTCGATTTAGTCCTTTCCGGGTGTTATGGATGTAAGGGGAAGTAGGAGAGTGAGTCAGGTCATCAGGCTGGCAGGCCTGGAGTGGTACCAATTTTCACACAGACACTTGCACTTACTATTACTCTACCCAGCGCTCGTCTCTTAGCACGACTACCCGTCTGAACCTACTTTGGACCATCTCCAACCCTAACCCAACCTTAGACTATCATTCTTTATTCTGACTCTAAGGCACACACTTTGTGCTTTTTGGCCCATTAATTATTATGTATAATTCTATTTATTTTGTATTTCTTTCCCTTTTATCTGGTATGTTGAAATGTATTTGTTCCTTTACCTTCTATATCGTTTCTCTGGTTGAGTATGTCTGATAAATAAATATATGTGTTATTGGGCACCTTTTTATTAGTAGAGGTATCATCATAGAGTTCTATCTGAATTAGTTTTATATGTTCATTTGCTATCTGAATTTTATTTTCATTAAAATGTTGGGGTGCTTGGGTTTAGAAAGGAACATGAAATTATAACAGTGTTTTCCCCCAAGTGGGTTATATTGCATATATTGGTTATTATATTATATTATATTATATTATATTATATTATATTATATTATATTATATTATATGTATGGGTTATATATTACGAAAACTTTTTGGTTCTGTTACAGGCTCATGGGCTGTCCATATATGGACTCCAGTATAAAATTATCCCCCCACTACAGCATCACCCTCCTGAATTGAAATCTATTTCCTTAGCTGAAAGCTCTCCAAAGAAATGTGAAATATGTGACTTCTAATCTGAGAGCCTCTGTTCCCTACCTTTTCTTTTTCATAAATAGCACTTTTCCTTTCTCTAGCACTGCAGCAAGCCTGATGACTGTATGCTTTTATCAGGCTATATATTCTCCTCATTTCATTTCCTACTCAGTATGACAGGGAAAATTTTAAAATTTCAAAGCAGATTTCAAAGAATAAAAATGTAAGAAAAACTGTTTGGCTTTAGGTATATCTATCATATAAGAAACACCAATATCCTAAAATTAAATTCATTGGACAGAACTTACTCTAATAATTACACATTTTCCTTAAAATATCATGTTTATATTTTTGCCAAAATCTGGTTTAGACTTTGTAGGAACATAGCTGTTGCACATATGTATAAGAAAACTTTGTTTTCTGACCCATTTGACTCTGTGTTAACTAGTTATGTGATTACAGGCTATTTCTATATTGTTTGATTTTGTGGCAAGACAGGCTTTGGTACCTTGTGTTCTTTTTAACTCCTGATATTCTCTACTTTGTTTTAGGTCATGGAGTGGTTCAGTATTTCAATGTAGCATCAGCTATTTATGCAAAATACAAGTTACATGGGTTTCAGTACCCTCCTGGGAATCGGATAGGTGTTTCCTTCATTGATGATGGGAGTAACGCAACAGAGTAAGTACTATCTCAGGAGGGTTTACAGCAGGGCTTTGGGTATACATGATGTGACTTGAAGAATAAGAAGAGAAAGCAGTTGACCTCTTGGGTGAGGAAGTCACACAAAATAAGTTACAGGTCAGAGACTGAATATTTCTAGTTTTCTGTAAATTATCAGTTCTTATCTTTAGTCTTCTCAGAAAAATGGCAACGCAGATGGTAGCAGCACAGCTTGCATCAATGGTGTGGAATAACCCAAGTCAGCAGCAATTTCTGGTAAGTAGGTAAGAATTTAACCTCTATCATACATCAGTAGGCTATAAAATAAATGTGGCCTTTGTTTATTACCTATGTAAGAAAATTTTCAGAGCTACAGTACAAGATCACATAGAAGTCATGATATAGATCTCTTTAGCTCTTGGCTTAAAATCCTTAAAGTGCAGTTTTTCTTATTTTGTACCTAACTCTTCAACAGCAATTTGGAGGAAATTCTGGATCACAGTTGCCTCAAATCCAGACAGACGTTATACTTCCATCGTGCAAAAAAAAAGCCCCTCCTGAAACTCCTGTGAAAGAAAGACTTTTTATCGTGTTTAATCCTCATCCTTTACCTTTAGATGTATTAGAGGATATATTCTGGTAAGATTTCAATTCCACAAAGTTACATTTATAATATAATTGATTTAAACCAGTCATTTAAGCCCTCTCACAAACTTGAAACTTCCTATATCTAATACTTATCAGATAGAAATGATTTGTTCTGTAGTTTAAAAAATTCCTTATTTATATCACCTTTTAAAATATATGATCATTTCTTTCTCTTCTTTATTATTTATACATCTTAATTCTCCACACAGAATTTCCTGTTACTTTGTTTTGAAGACATAAAACAGTATTGTTTTGGGGCGCTTGGGTGGCTCAGTCGTTAAGCGTCTGCCTTCGGCTCAGGTCATGATCCCAGGGGCCTGGGATCGAGCCCCGCATCGGGCTCCCTGCTCGAAGCCTGTTTCTCCCTCTCCCGCTCCCCTTGCTTGTGTTCCCTCTCTCGCTGTCTCTCTCCGTCTATCAAATAAATAAAATCCTTAAAAAAAAACAAAACAGTATCATTTTGAAAAATTGCATGCATAAAATGGACAAATCATTTGTTTCTTGATAGAAAATACATCTGTGTCGACCTTTCCTCTAGAATTCTTTTTATATAACTTTTCCTTAGTGATTGTAATACAGCTGAACAGAGTAGCATTTTCTATTTTGTCAGCACTCTGTTGGATCCTTAAGGATTATATTGAGTAAACAATTACTTGATTGTAAGGAAGAGTACATAATAAGTGTAGAAAAAGGAAGGCTCTTGTTTATTTTTGTGTTTTTAATAGAACTCCTTTAATCTTAACTTTTTTCTTTTTGGTATTTTTCCTATTTGCCTTATAACAGGGTTAGCAAAGGGAAAAAAAAAATAAGCTCATTGAAGAGCTGCACAAAACATCAGTAGTTCGAATATTTTGACTTATTTAACTGATTCATGTAGTTTATTTCTTGAACATTTCCTTTGCGCCAGGCAGTCATCATGCTAAGTGCAAGGGACATTGTGTAAACAAAAGATATGATGTAAATAAGACATAATAGTTCTTGTCCTCTGAGAGCTAATCTCATGTAGGAGACAAACAAGTGAATAGGATACTACAACCTAGTGAGGTTGGTGTTGTGAAAAGGAATGTCCAGGCTATGAAATACATAAGGGGAGCATCTATTTCTGAAGTTCTAAGAAGCAATGTATAATGGAGACCTGACAGATAAAAGTAACTTAGCTAGAGGAGAAAGGATTTGGGGGGCAGGGGTGGTTATTTCTGCAAGAGAGAATGTGAAAGGAGATGGTTAGAGTATAGAATTTGAGAGACTGGGAGGGAGGGTGAAGTGGGAGAGGACAAGGCCTATGTCAAGAAAGACCCACAAGCTATGTTAGGGAGTTTGTCTTCACCCCTGGATGGGATTTTTAAGGAGGAAATGATCAAATCTCTGTTTTAGAAAGATCGCTAGAAAGACAGGGTAGAAAATAGATTAGAGAGGGACAAGCCCAAAGGGCAGGGAAACAAGTGAGGAAGGTATTAGAGCATTCCAAGGAAAAGATAATGACCAGCTGAATGAGGAAAGAGACCTGAGTGAGAATGAAGAGAACTTGACTAATAGAGCACGTGTTTGAAAAGGAAGATTGACTTGAAGATTGGATGTGGGGAGAGGAATGGAAGAGGAGTCCAGAATGGACCCCAATTTTTGGACCTAAACAGTTGTATTTTTATCAATTTCATTTGATTTTTTTTTTTTTAACTTTGTTTCAGTCGTTTTGGTAACCTGATCGAAGTTTACCTCGTGTCAGGAAAAAACGTGGGGTATGCCAAGTATGCAGATCGAATAAGCGCCAATGATGCCATTACTACTTTACATGGAAAGATCCTAAATGGAGTCAGACTTAAAGTTATGCTGGCGGATTCCCCAAGAGAAGAATCTAACAAACGACAAAGAACTTACTGATTCTTGAGGTAAGCCCTTTTTAGTCTGAATTTTAAAAACACGTTGGCTAAATATTATAGCAAGAGGAATATGTATAGAGTTTCTTTTTAGGGATTTGGAAGCTGTCAGTTAAAAGCATTGTGACTTAGTGCTTGGCTAGTAAAACCAAAGGTTGGGTTAATTTCACAATATATTTTTTTTAAACTTGAACTTTTTAAACTTAAATGTTTTCAGTGTTTACTGGGAGAATGTTTTTGCCCTTCTACAAAATAAAATCAGATTTCAATGTAGAAAGTTAAAGTGGGTTTTTTTGTTTGTGAATGTTTTAATATTAAGAATTTAATTTTTTACCATATGTTTAACTTTAAAATTGAAATAGTGCTAAAGATTTTTAATTTAGAGGATTAATGTCAATGTCTTGAGTTATAACTTAAGGTAATTTGTAATAACCTTTATAAAAGAGTGTTTTGACATCTCACTAGTGAAATGCCTAAAAAGCAATATCAAATAATACGTCTTTTTGGACCTTTTGAACCTAGATGTTTTTCTCTGGACTTGTATTTGTGAGTTGTGCATTAAAACCAGACATTTGAAAAGTATTCTCATGTGTATATATGTATTAAAAAAGGAACCCTGCCAATTTACCAAAAACTCTTGTCTATTATAATGATACATACAGCCATATGAATTTCTTTTTCTTTTAGTTTTCAGAGATCAAACTTATATTTCTTTTTCTGTGATAGTCAACACATATCTCCATGGCTTAGGGAAACATTCTTTAAAGTAGAAATGTTCAACTCTTTCACTTTTTTTATTCTGGAAATGAATTCTGAGTTTCAGGGGTAGCTGAGAGTTTCCCTGTTCCCACACACACCAGCTTCCCAAGTCCACTGCTGGTCAAATGGTAGCAGTTGGCAAGCACTTTAGATTGACTTGGAAGTTACTGACTTGAAAGCAAATTTCTTTTACCTCCGTTTTCTTTCTGACCAGTTATGGCGACTAGCAGGTATCAGAGTGAATTGTCTCAATCCTTACTGCTGATGACCTTTTTTCTAATAGAGCAAGTCAGGTGATTAGTTCCTCCTTCCTAGAAGGCAGTTGGCAATAGGAAATGCCCATTGGGCCCATTATGAATAATCCTAATTTAAAAATGTCTTGCAATGTTTTATTTAATTACAAAATTCATTCCCATTACCCAATACAATGTAAAAATATTAAAATGCCAGTGAAAAAGAATTAGCAAGTCCTTCTTAAAACAAAACTGTTTACATTTACAAATAAAATGTTAAGACCTGAATTCTGGTTAGACAAGCTATCTTCTAAAATAGCACACAAAAATGTGTTTGTGTCTGTGAATATTTTAATATATAGCTAACAATTCTTTTATTCAAAGAATCTTTGTAAAAAAGATTTTACAAAGAACCTTTGTAAAAAAGGACAGTAATACTGAGTTCTTAATATGGGGAAAATATATGAATTACTCTTGTGGTTGAGCCTTTCCTAGTGATTATTTGTATAGTATAAAAATATTAAACTTAAAAATCAGAAGATCTGGCTTGGAATTCTAATTCCGATGTTTAACTGACTTGATTGGGCAGATCTCTTCACCTTTCTGAGGCTGATTTTTTTAAATAGGGTTATTGAGAGAAAATTCATCAGCAGAATTCCTTATAAAATATAATAATGTTTTGCAAGTGTGAGCTAAAACTTGCCTTGGTGATTTCAGTGAATCTTTGACATGTCATCTTACCAGAATGGTCAGAAACTAAAAGTGTAATGATACAAAATGTGGCCAGCTGCTGCTGTGCAAATGAAGCTTTATAATACCACGTTTTCCCTGTAAAAGTGATGTACATTTATCCGTTCCCTACATCAGAGGAAGTACCTATTCTTCAGCATGACTATTCATAAAATATAAATCTATCCTTTTTCCCTTTATTGAACCATTGTACCTATTCAGAGCAAAGATAAAGTAGGTTCAGGTTAGCTAAAAATGGTAGGACATAATCAGCTGTATTGGTTTTGAATGTCTTAAAAGTTGCAGCACGTTTTTTAAATTTATTTTTGCGGTAGATTTTCTGTTTACTGTGGACTCCATGAGATTCTCCTCCTTTGTTGGTATATTAAATAAATGTATTATTTTAAGGTTCAATAAAATAATATGAAAGAGTTTCCCAAATTTTACAGATTACAGCAGGTGAAGTTCTTTGGGAGGGGGAGCATTTTTTTTATTTGTTCCCTTGATTTCAAGGGACAAGCACCACTCATAAAGGCTGGTTCCTTTTGTCTCTGAGAAATAGGCCTAGGATTAAGTGAGCTACACCTATGAAATAGGAAAAGAAACTGGTCTAAGAATATAACTTTGAAAGTAATTGAGTTCTATTTTGAACTGGGTTTAATGTACAAAATATGTTTCTCTTTCTATTTGAGGAAAATAAAAATTTTAGTATTTCAGAGCATCCTGATTTTGTATTAATTCACAGCATTTTCCCTTCAGAAATTCAGTACCTGCTTGCATCGTCCTTCTGAGTAAGTTTGGTTTTGCTTATTTGGGGACATCTGTGATTAAGTAAGCAGATAACATTGGTTATTTTGAAATAAAAGAAATTCCTAACATTTTAGGAATACTTAAATACAATAGCTGTTTCCTTTCAGGTGATGATTTTCATACTTCTGTTGTGTTCTTTCTACAGAACAAAGACTAAATAATGACATAATCCTCAGCTGACTGACTGAAAATGTGACTGGACGCACTCCCTGTGGACAGTTGACCGCTTTTTTTTCATATACCTGATAGTCTGTGCACAACATTGTTTTGTCTGGGGAGCACGGATTGTTGACATGTATTTTTGAATTCACACTTCAGTGCTAAAACTAATATAATAGTTGTTTCTTAGAGCAATATGTTGTTATATGTAGCAGAAATAAAGTTTTCTTTGCTTGACTAAATCATGCCTTATTTATGTGAAAGAAGAGAATAAAACATATAACAGTGTTTAGAATTTGACAAAATGACATATTTCATTGATTTTGAGATGCACATTTTTTCACATTTTTATATTTCTGAAATTGGACACATCTTGATATCAATTGTGTGCCATACTATAATTGACAACCGGTTTTTATTCCTTAATAGAACAGAAACAGAGGTGCTTCCTTCAGTCAGTTGCATCTGAGATTCAATAAAATATGGTAATTGCTGCTCAACCTACACATGCAGATTGGCTACATACTTACACTTAATCTGAGGCAAGAGCCAAAAGACATATCAGAAATATTTTATACTGTATTTTTATAGTTATGCCAAAATTTGTTGGTAATTTTATAAAGATCTTTGAAGATTATAGAGCAATGGTAATAAAAAAAAAGAGTTCTAGGTTATTATTGACAATAAGTTTAAATAAATGTTAGTGGCTTTGCAGGAGGGTGGACATTTTCCCTTATAAACACAAGATATAATGGCCACTGTAAAAACGTGACACGTAAGTAACTTCAGAACAGACTATGATAGAAAGAATAGTCATTCCAAAAAAGGATTAAAAATTAGGACCCTACTCTGCTTGTATTTTGAAAATCCAAGAAAAATTTTTAGCTGCTCTTAAGGTGAATAATATGTATCAAAAAAGGTATATCTAAGTCAGAAACTCAGCATCTTAAAGAAAGATAGGAAGATACTATAAATGGTATGCAGTTATTAAAACCACTGAATTACCTCCTCAATATGCTTCTCACATTCTGAGTTAAACTAAAAATAATGAAAGATTAAATTCACTGAGCATAATAGAGTATTGCAGTTTGACATCTCTCCATTAAAAAATTGAAATCCTTTTTTTGAATCAGTAATTTTAATAAATTTAGATAAGAAAATTTCTAATCTCATCTTCCCAGGCAGGACTTACTGAGAATGGAATCTTTGTGAACCAAAGGGCATATTTTGAAAGGAAAGTAAATGCTCTCATTCGAAATGAAAAAAAAAAAAAAAAAACACCTAAGTGAGAGATGAGGATTAATTACCAACAGGTAGACTTATTCATCCTGAACTCATTTACTGTGCACATAGTTCCATTTTCACGGATTGAAACCAAATTGTGTCCTACAGGTTATCAGACTCTACCACTCAGTTAATACTTGAATTCCCCCAGAAATAATATCTGGCAGCTGGTTAATCTAAACACTATAAAAGTAGGGAAGGCGTTCTCTTAACTCATACCTGAGTCCACTGCATCTTCGATTAATCCTCATAATTAACAAAAGTTGATTCCCCACAATTTTCACCTTATTAGTCTTTAAGTTTTTCACTGGGCCATATGATAGCTTTCTTTTTATTTTATTTTATTTTATTTTATTTTATTTATTTATTTGACAGAGAGGGAGAGACAACGAGAGAGGGAACACAAGCAGGGGGAGTGGGAGAGGGAGAAGCAGGCTTCCCGCTGAGCAGGGAGCCCGATGCGGGGCTCGATCCCAGGACCCTGGGATCATGACCTGAGCCGAAGGCAGACGCTTAACGACTGAGCCACCCAGGCGCCCTGATAGCTTTCATATACCCTCCTGACCTCCAAATTTTCTATTTGGATGAAATAATCCCAATTTCTGCATTCCGCATTTAAAGTCAGGGAGCCAGTTTCAGCAACCAATTGTGGTTTCAGTAAGGTGTCTTCTGTAGATTTAGTTCCTTGATTCTTTCATATAAATTCTAAAGAGATTTGTAGCATAGTTCTCTGCCTGCGAAACACTGCTTTTACACTGCAACCTTCTGTTGCATTTTCCAGCTGCATGTCTCAGTTGTCCCTTGTAGTTGAGCCCTAAAAGTTTATTTTTTAAAAGCCAGAGTGCCACATTTTTCTTAAAACGAGGAGGTTCTAAACCCTAAGAAATAGCATTTAATAATCTAGTGCTCATGTTGTCACTTAGATGTTTACTCTTCACATGCACTTTGGGTATAAGAACATGATATATAGACACTTAGATGCTCTGCATATGTCAGTTACTAAAATTGCCAACAGAGGGGTTTTTATTAGGTGTGTACTTCATTAACTTAAAAAAAAATTAAGCAATTCAGATCAATAAACTTCTCTTTCAAATATGTGGTTCAAATATAAATAGCATCTAAAATAAAGCCTGATCAAAACTTTCTTGTAAATTCATTGTCAGGTCTTTTATGGTAGATTATAGATGCTGAAAGCAGGTATCAGATTTGCTGTTTCTAGAGCATCATGTCCTAAGCTATGTTCCTTGAAATACTAGTGTCTTGAGAGAATTCATTAAGTGTTCTTTAGGGAAGAAGTTTTCATGGTCAAAGATATTTAGAAAATGTTTGGTTCTTATTGCACAGATTATTTTGACCATGAACCTTCTCAGAGCCTTTAATATGCTAATATATATCATCCCTGTATCTCCAAAAGAAGACCATGGTTTGCACTGGGAAATGTGTTTTTAGAGGCACACTACTAACAGGCCACTGATACTACAACGAATGTATTTGAGGAAAGATTCTTCTGCAGTATATACTGTTTTTATTCAATGGTAGTGGTGTGGTTTTATTTAGAAGTTTATTTTTTATGCTTTTTTTATCTCACCATAGGTAAAAAGTTAATGCAAAATACTAAGGAAATTATTACTCTAAAATTTTCTTATTCTCTGAATGTTATTCTCTTTTAATTGGGACCTACATGATATCAATGAACAGAAAGAAAATAGAAATAAGAGATTTTACCACTAGGTGGTGATAAACATTGCCACTCAGAAACAGTGAAGCGCAGCATTCCAGTTTTATTTAAAGCATTGAGCATGAAATGACAGGATTTGTATTGTCTAAAGCAGTGGTTTTAAACTTTAGTGTCCACAAGAATCACCTCAGGTATTTGTTTAAAATACAGGTACACTGAATTGCAAATTTGGGGCTGAGTTTCTCAATAAGCTCCCAAGTGATTTGTTAGGGTAATCAATAGCATTGACTTTGTAGTATATTGGCCTTGAGAGATTCTATATGTTGGACCTTAAATTGGACTATTGTAAAAATAAGACATTGAGAAGTTCCTGAGTCTTTTTACCTTAAGCATTTTTTAGAATTTAGCATCTGCTTTAATTTAATATCAGTAAATATGAATTACAATAAGAAATTGAAAAACACAAGCAGTCTTAGAGATAAAGCAAGATGTCAGGCCAGCTTTTTTATGTTAGCAAATATTTTTTTATGTTTGTATAGGATGGTAATTATTTGCTTTTGCCATTCAAAGCTTCTATCTTAATTCATTTTTTATTTACATTTATTTTGAAGTAAATTATTTTAATGAATTATCATCAAAGATTTGGTCTCTAAATAAGTATATAGATGTATCATTCTTTTTAAATGGACAAAGGAACATGAAGGTGATATAATTATCATCAGTGTTTAAAAACTGAAATAGAATAATCACGGGAGAACAGAAATACGCATGTATGTATCTGAGTATTTTTACAGTCCTAAAGTGAATCTTCTTACAAAGTGAATGCTTTTTTTGATGTACTCACAAATCTGTTCATTTATAGGTACAGTTTAATTTTCAGTAACTTCTTAATTATATGCCTAAAACTCAGTGAGGTCAAGAACAAATGAAATACATATATATATGGCCTTTTCATTCAGGGGTATAGCCATATGCAAATTTTATTCCATATGTGGATAGTAAGCTCTATTAAAATCATAGCAACTATTTTTACATATGACTTCAGTAAAGAGAGAAAACATAAAGGTCATCCTTACTAGATAAGAAGTTTCATTTTAATATCTGAATTCTAATAAATGGATTGCATTATTTCCTTTTCTAGAAACAGTAACTCAAGGACACATGGATCCTGGGAACTGAAGGTATGGTATTACTAGGGAATCAGCTAGAAATATTTAGTTAACATATGAAGTTGGAGTTCGTTCATTATCATGACCACGTTTTGACCATATTTAAGGTAGAAAAGACTTGTCCTCAGTAGAATATGGAGGTCCCTGATCTTATACTTTGAGAAAGTTACCAGGCCCTATGAAAATCCATTTGAGTGGTTATCTGTCGCAGGAAAGAGAGTCCTCTGACTGTCTTAGATGAATTGCAGTCACTATCCAGATGTCAGGACCCATGGGAGCCAGCTCAGCTGCAAGCTGACTAAGGCCACAAGCACTGTGGAACCCTGGAGACGGCCTTCCTGACAGTGCTGCTGCAGAAGTGGTGGAGGGAGGGCACCAGGAGACTGTTGGAGGAAAATCATTTTTGTATTTGAAGTACAAAAATCAAGTACAGTTCTCTACAGAAATGGGGAAAATGTTGAGCAGAATAGGACAACCAAAGTGCTTACTCACAGATACTCCTTTGAATCTACACTCTTTTAATTTTCCTGCCGGTACTCCGTTTCTGATTTTGTAGGTGAATGCTGTTGCTGCTGACTGATTTTCTTGCTCATATATTACCATCATTTTTCAGCATTAGTAATACACAGGTCACAGCATTCATTAGCACAGAGTTCTTAGAGGGTTTCTGGGCTTGTTTGTTCTGTTCGGT